AACTTTCGACACAGATCACCATCCTCCGTATATCGTATGAACCTAACTTCACAACCTATGACGAGATTCAGACTTTGAAAGGCCGAACTCCATTAATCTCTTGAAGTTTGTGAAATCTCGCTCCGCAGCTGTCTCTTAAGATCATTAAAATAAGCCGAGCTAGAAGCCACAGGATGTGGAAACTGGATCATGAGTGCTTAAGCTGTCCAAAATCGTAAAAACTCTTGGCATCCTTTGCCGCAAAAAACACCTGATAAAATATGAAAAACTTTGAAAAGCAGAAAGAATCATTCTAGCAAAAAACACAGATTTTGAAAAGCAGACAAGAACTGATAACGCATATTACTGATCAGAATTTAACACTAGCATTTTTTGATAAGCATACACTTGTCGAGGAATTCAGTTCTAACTGGTTACCCATTCACCCCCTTCACTCCACGGGATTGCAAAGGAATAGTAAGAAAAGGCTCACGTAGAGGCGAGTATAAGTCACTAAATTATTTTACTGCATCAGCAGAGGCCGACGAGTGTTTTACCAAAGAAAACAAGATATTTCAAAAATCGGAGGATTTTTGAAATTTCACGACCAATTTGAAATTTCTAGATTCTGTTTCTCCCAGAAATCGCTGCCGACAAAAAAATTCAACACTGTAATTATTTTAATATACGATGACAACCTGAAACCAGCGGCCCATGATTTGCGAAGATGGCACATTGATTGTTTCAACGTTATTTTGGATCATGTTGCTTATTCCACCAATAATTCCAGCCAATGCGTTGATATCCATCTATAAGCCATCTAATAGGTAGAGAGAGAGATAGAGCGAGAAAAGAAGAGAGTAGGAGGGAAGGAACTTAAAAAATTGAGCTTTTACAAAGAAGCTGCATAAGTTTTTGCCTTTTGAAGCTTTTTGGAACAAGCCAACGATAAGACAGAAGACACAAAAGAAAAATTTTCCCGACGCTGAATATCATAGTGTACTGATACACATTGTCATTGAAGTTCCTGATGTCGTTTAAACAAAATTACGCTGAAGGCTTTAACAACCAACAAACAAGTCTAAAAAGTGGAAATAAGCTTACAGGGTTTTCACCGATAGCTGCCACGTAATAAACAATAAAAGTGACCAGAAGCAGTCCGGATATCATTGTTCAGAAATGGAAAATTCGAATCAATTGCTCGTTATTGTGCAATAAATTGAGCACAAGCATGTGCTGCGGGGCCGTTCAACTGAATAAGGTTACTGACCCGTCCGTCCTCAACTTCATCCATCTATCCATCCACCAGCATCAATCTGGACCTTGAAATTCCTCATCTCAAATGTAGGTTACCAGACCCTCGCTCTTTCCTTTTCCTTTAACTGGTTCCCATGAAAATCCCCGTTTTTTTTTTTTTTTTTTTTTCTTCATTGTAGAACAAAATTCTTGCCCAGGTAATAATTTATGTTCAGATACTTAAGCACCGCTAAGATCCAGAGCAAAAGTCCTATCAAGGCATGAAAGTGACAGTAATCAACACAGCAAGCAAAACCTCTTTCCTAGAATTCAGCAAGTCGAGAAAGCTCTGTGCTGAATTCTCTCTGTAAAAATTGAGATTTGTTTGCAGTTATACGTCTGCCATTAGGCAAAACGACGAACATTAGTTATCCGACGAACATTAGTTATCCCGATCTCCTTCCAGAAGATCGGGATAACTAATGTTCGTCGAAAAAGGCGTTAGGTGCAAAAATTTTCCTGGAAATTTTTTAGGCTTAGAACTTCAAAAATTTTTTTAGGGTCAGAATACAATGCAGAGGACGTGCGGGCTCGAAGTCAGAAGTTGGGTTAGCTCAGTTACTACGATCATGTCTTTATCATGTCTTTATTGATATCGACCATGTCTTTATTGTTGCATAGTGTAAGAAAATCCTGGAAAAATACGAAGTGATTTCTCATGAAAGTAAGTCCTAGAGTGGCAGCACCGTTTGTATAGGAGCTGCCCATGCTTTGTAGTGAAAGAACGTTGCCAACAATATTATATAGCTCGAATTTTGTTTCAGTAGCTTTCTTCCGAAATCAAATAGCGGCACGTAACAAGATCAAGCTATTTTGCTATAAGCTGTTGCAGGAGCGAGGCCTGAGAACCGATTTAGTACTTTTTGTTATCTGAACTATCTAAGATGAATAACCTAACTGTTGGCTTTTCCGGTGAGTTATGAATTTTCATGAACGCAAGTGCGGTATTATAGACCAAGATGCACCAGAAAAAAAAATGATCTCAGGGTATTTGCTTCAAGTCATTTACCAGATTAATACCTAAATTTTCAACTTTTGAGCTGTGAAGTAAATTTATGCTTGACTTGGAATCACAGATTAGGACGCACTGAAAACTGGAACCTGTCTTCAAGTTAGTTGACTCGAAATATAAAAAAAGTGAACCACTCACTATTTTTCAGCTTTAGCGGACTGCAGGGTGTAAATCAGGCCTGAACCTAGATCTTTTTTTGCAGGTCAGGCCACTAAATAAAGCTGATACATAAGCTCTAGATTATTTGCCCCGAATTACAAAAAGAATGAATTTCTCCAAAGCTTTTACCAGCTTTTGCCAACTTTCTTGTTCCTTGTGTTGTGAAACTAGTGTGAATTTGGATATGGCATGAATCTGAATTAGGTCATAAAAGGAGGTACGGGCGGAACCCGGTTTTTGGCCTTGCTCAAGGTCCAGCAGCACGGAACTAAAGTTCTTATTGGACAAATCATTTATGCAAAGTGGAATAGAAATCCTGATGCTTTACAATTTTCGGCGCACTACGCAAATAACAATCGACTGATTGTTATTTTCTATATCATTTAGCGCTTCAAGAGAAACTGTAAATGAGGTGGTTTTCATTTCAAACGCCATTCGTTAACAAAAATCAAAGCAAATCCGGCCGAACGGGTGCGCAGCCCGATAGGCTTCAGGATTGTGATAAAGAGCCGTCCCGCAGCAACCGAGCTGATAGAAACTGAGGCTGTGCCGATCAAGATTGGAGCGCTGAAAAACGCGGGCAAGTTAATGCCACAGAATGCGGTGGGCAACAGGCGTGCAACGTACAGAGGGAGGAAATTCCCCGGTTTGTTTGTTGAATTATTAACAAGTTAAAGTAGCTTTCCCATTTCCGTTGTTGTTTCTGCTTTTTCAGAGTTCAAAATTTTTTTTGCCTGTGTGACCTCGTAATAGCTATTTTGAACCGGGAAAAGGCCGGATAATAGAGCTGCAGAAAAAAAAAAAGAGATCGCAAGAACTAATTCAAACTGACTTCGGAATAACTGAATTACGTTTAAACAATTAAACGACTTTAACAAGTGATATTAAAATAATAAAATTTTCTACTGAATAAGATTTAAATCTTAAGCGGTAATTTTTTGTGTGTTTTGGTTGGGTTTGATGAATTCGTCCAGATACTGTGCTCTTCAGTCTTCTTGATGAATCGGAACATTGAGCCTTTTTCTATTAGCTTCCTCCACTGCCAACATTTCATCCAGTGCCAGCAGTACTAGCAGTTCTCAATACTGTTTTGAACTCAGTACTCAGTTTTATTGAGTCTCAAACGCTTCATTTATTCCAAAAGAAATAACAACACAGGTAGGGCTACGAATCAATGTTCTTTCATTCGCTCTCTACACGAGTCACAGGCAACACTCGGAAGTAGCTGGAGTGGCAACAAGCGCCAATAGCGACCACAGCAGCAAGCTACCGATGGCATTCTTTTTCAGTGGCTATTAGAAGCCAGCTGATGGCTGATTTGTTTTTCTGGTCGGTTTAACCAAGAATGTCAAGACAGACAGGAGTTTCAAGTAGTAACGAAAAATCGCAGTTCCACTGTTTGCTGGTCATCTGCTTGCAGAGGGAAATGAGCGAAGGTTACGCTTTCCTCTTACAGCATCCGGAGTGCAGAGATGAGAGTGTGTACTGAAAACGCAGTCTATTTTTCTGAATATTTTAGTTATTTCTATAAATGCTCACTTTTGCTGCCGCTCTGACAAAATCACTAAAAAAAAAAACAAAAAGTGACGCAAATACTAGTTTCGACTACTGCTGCAGTAGCCGACCCTCCTGGCGGTGGCGCCTTCTCCCGTTTCGTCACGACTTCAATATTTAGAATAAAATGCAGTAACAAAATTATTATACAATGTTTCTTCACAAGATACAGATAACAGCACTGCATATCACAGGACAAGTTATTATTAACTTAACAGCTGCAGGGAGGGGAACGATCGCTCGGAACGATCCTGGTAGGACAAAATGGCCCGACATGTGGAAGCATCTCAATAAACATCACTAACATAGCATACCCACACTGATGCCTGGACGGTCTTGGTATTCCTGGTGTTTAACAACTAAAAATCGACACTTATATTTAATTATAAAGCACTCAAACACAACAATGATTCGAAAGTTTAAAACGACAGAAATGAACAAAAGCAAATTCTTTCCAACGCGTTTTTTTTCAAACCATCCCATCCTAGCGATATGCACTCGCTGTTCTTCCTTACCCATCACCCTCCGCTACTTCGTAATGCTTACTGCTTCTTTTAAAACATAGTGAATGGATTTACATTACTGCCAAAATTGCACTATAAGTTAGCCCAGGCCATATGATTCGCATCATTCTGCAGAGGATTGGAGATTTTGGCTCCTTTTTCTGTATTTTCAAATTGGTAAAAAAGATGATTTCCCCTTAATTCTATGATGGAACCGGGTTCTGTTTCTTATTTTTAATATCCCTGGAGTAACAAATTCGGAAAAAAGGCTGAATTTGTTAATCGAAGTAATCGAAACAAATAAAGCCACTGAAAAAAAGAAGCATAGTAATTAAAGGACAAACAGAACAAATCACGTCAAACGTTTACTTGGTCCGAATACTTCAAAAGTACTGTCCGCGTATTGACATGAGCTGTAGCTGGCGGGTTGTAACATATTGAATGCCCTGATGAAGCCGTTAATGAATCCTTGATCCTCCAGCCATCTGAGAACTTCTTGTTCATATTTCGCTTTGAATTTATCTGGATCTCGTACCAGCACTGTCACCGGATATTTCACCCAGTTCGAAACAACTGCCCATTCGTATTGCGGATTACCAAATGGATCCGTTCCTTCTGGACCCAGTTTATATATCCAGACTAAAAATGACAATTTCAAATCCTTTTGAAAGCTATGACAACTGACTCAATCTATCCGAACATCGCTTCAAGGCAGAGATTTTAAGTTGCACTTCCTTCAACAAAATCTTTTGCTTATTGACGACGGTTGTACTGCTTGCATCTACCGATTACCTCCAAACTGCTTTAATCCCCTGGCCCATTGGTTCGGACCACCTCTGACCCGTCTGTTGAAGGTGAAGTGTCGTTTAATTTCAAAGAAAAAAAAAAATGCTTCATTGTTCGCAGATAAGTGGGTGATGTGCAAACATACACGGCTGTGCATCCGACGTCTCTGAGCTATGCAGCTGCAGCATGGCATCCTTGTTGCCGCCACGGAACGCATAACCGATCGAGTACCGTACCGGACCAAATTCGCTGCCTTCGCGGTAAATCTTCAGTGCTGTGAAGGTTGCTGTTTTGTCATTTTTCGTCAAGCCACCATCTAAAATCACCGAAAAAGAACTGTACTACCAGAGAAATGTAAAGAACTGTATTTCACTAACATTCACCATGTCCACAACAATGTCCAGGACTACCTGGATATTGTTGGGACATGGTGAATGTTAGTGAAATTTCATGAAGATGCGAATCTCAGCTGCTCCAGACTTTATGCTCTTACGATATTTCAGTGGATCATTTCTTCCAGGATGTTCTGATTGGTCACATCCTCTGCCACTGTTGAAGACCATTCAGTGGCTGCAAGGATCTGTCTTCCTCTGCGGATTTCATCTCAGCTGGCTGGACGAAGTATTTTACGCTTCAGCAGTAGTACTGAGGCAGCAAAAGATAAGTCGCCAGTGGGCACGTGCGTATCAGCCATTTCGTAAACATTGCATGGGTAGCTGCGTGGAGTACTCGCAGTGCTGCAGATGCACTTTTTTTTTTTTTAATCAAATTGCTAGGATGAGGGAAAAAGAATGAAACCCACAGTGATGAACGACACAGCGTTGTTCGGTAGCCCGTGGACTGTTGATGCCTTCGAACCACCTTCCCATGAATTTGTGCAGATCGAAATCTTCGGGAGTTGGCGGTAGCAGCGCATCCGTAACGTTATCCGCGAGAGTCTGCAGTTGCTCCGGTGGAATTACGTCAGCCAGCGTTGTCCCATTCGAAATGCGTCGCGTTATTGATCCTAACATCAAATTTCATAAGGTTCACTTTATACATACAAACATAGTTCATTGCTGCACTTGTCTCGCGGCATGTTAATGTCGATTATCTAGAGCAGGCCAGGATAATACATCCAAATTCAGGCCCGTTCTGCTGAAGTATCCCTGTTCCTGAAGACTAACAACTTAGTATGCATAATGCAGCAGACTAGCTGCTTTCATCAAAAATACTTCATTTAATGCAGTCCACCTAGTCATCATCTACGTCGGAGGGAGTTACGAATGCTGCAAAAGACTAGAAAAGAATTCAATCATGAAAGAAGTCAAAAAGTTCATCTCGCCCTTTTCCTCGGACCAATTCCAAATGCCTCCGTTGTGCTTTAAAACACACCTAGGACAAGCGATAAAGCAAGTAAATGTTTAATCCGGCCAATGCTGCCACTCTGTTAACTCAGCAGCTATCCTGAGCGGGAAAGCTGCATTTCTGAAGGTGTTTGCTGTTCATATCCGGGCCATCAAAAGTACGTCACAAGTGATGCCAGCAGCAACCATCAGCTGGCTAAACCATCGATGGCTCCCCAAGGTTGCAAAGAAGCAAGCTGATGACAAATCCGACTTTCTGGCAGATGCTAGTACCAGTTCATCATCGTAACGACTGGACGAATCGTAGAGGGATTGATTATTCCAGGAAAGGCAACTCTCAACCTTCTACGTAACAAAAGTTATTGCGCAATGCCCGTCAACGGAAAAAAATTTTAGTAATTTGATAATGGAGAAGTACGTTATTTGCACGAAGGAACAAATTTAAGGAATAGTTGAAAATCAAACCAATAAGCTGGACGACATCAATTTGACCCTGTTCATTTCTTGGAATACCGCCTGGTAGCAGTGGGAAACCAGGTATTCTCGGTAGACCGGCATGGGTTGGTCCACGTCCACCACCGGCACCAAGTGCTGCGGCCACTCCGGAAAGTACACGCTGTGCAGCACTTTGCTGTCTGCGAATTCCGGACCCGGAAATCGATTGTGCAGCAGCTTCAGCTACTGCTGACTCGGCATCTGTTGAATGAGCAACAGCTGTGTCACCGGCACCACCGGTACCCAGAACATTCGGAATACCTTGCGATAAAGCATCTGCTACACCGGCTGAAATTCTTTCCATCTTCAGTCCATTTTCGAAGCAGAAAATTTTAAGTGAACTGAAAAATCTGGACAGCTTCCATATGTTTCAAGCAGCCTAAAAAAGTATTACCTGTGCTGTGAACTCTAAAAAATAGTAGTGACAAATTTTTGGAGTCGCTGTTTGTTTATAACTAGTAACGAATTTTATAGGCTTGTAATCACGGGCTCCAGTTCTTCTTTGCCCGTCTTTCAGTGATTTATAATTATTGATTATTAAAGTACCACTTTACTATTGCCGAATTACAATCGCACTGCATAGATATCACAACTTACTGTCTTGCACTAGCTTCCTGATCGAACTTGACAGCAAGCCAATGAGACCGTTTTCTCCAGGTGTGGCTTCCGGAAGCGGCATGCTGCCTGTGCCACGGTAATGTGTCGGACCAGTCGCTTCATTGTATAACTGATTCAGCTGATTGCCGAATGCCGGATTTGCTTGTGTTAGTAAATCTAAAAATTATTTTTGTAAACGTACGGTTTTAACCAGAACACGAATAATGATAATCCAACTGGTCACACAAAATGAGCCAGTTAACTATAAAAGATAAACCATTTTGTGGGGCTGGAGGAGGCGGGCTTCCTGATATATGTTCCAGTGGCAGGCCTTGAACAGGGATCCCAGCAGCTCGCAATTCCTGAAAGTTGCTCTGCTATTAATCACTGTTAATTGTTTCCAAAAATGAATAATTTTTAAACTATCCAGATCAGTTTCTGCAGGAATTAAAAAAAAATGGGACCTGGATAGCACCAGCGAAGCCTTCTGGATGATTACCAGTGAGACCGGGTATGCCAAAGCTGTCAAGACCAAAGAACTTGATAAGCTGGTTTTGTACATCGGGAGGTATATTGATCGGTGGTGGAGGTGGAGGTGTAGTTATCGGACGCGACACGAACTGCTGTTCCGCTGCCAACGACTAAACAGAGTAATTTTTATTCATTATTAGTTAAAAGAGATTACGCACATATTATCGAAGAAGCAGTAAGTACTAACTGGAAGTGTGTAGACCAGGATCTGAGGGCCTAGCATAGCTATCCTGGCGTGTGGGAGCATCCCAGCAAGATCGGTACCATGAGACACCTGTACTGATGTCCGGGCAATTCTAATACTCTTGGTCAATCAGTTATCGGTTTCATTTGATTACTGCTGTTGTTTAATGTGTCTCTCACATTTAATTTCTGGCCAAATGTAGATTTTCAGTGAACGTGAGTTTTCACGGGTTCATTTCAGGTTTGCTGCACCAAAGAAGGATGAAACTAGTTAGAAATCTGAAGTTCGCAAAATAATTTTCCAAGCTTTACACAACCAAGACGGTAGTTAGACGGTTGGCCTAGTAAACACACATACAATCAATGGCTGGCAAAAACGGAGGAGTGATTAACGAGGCTGTGTACAACTTGATCAGGATCGCTAACGATCTGATTCTAGGCAACGGAAAAATAATTTAGTGTTCCTCTGGATAAAAGAATATTTTTCTTTTTTTTCTGGAAACGAATAATTTTTACAAAATCCCATCAAAAAAACGTAAAGTAACTTGTTTTTTTCTTGTCTTTTGATTGTCTTAGAGTGATAGCTTAAAGAGACAGCTCGCAAAATGTTTTTTTTTCTCTCTCTCTGTCTCTTTTAGAAAAACATGAAGCTGGAAAAAAAAAAAAAAAACTCACTGGTGGTATGATGGGAAGCTGAGCAGCGAGAGTGGACGCCGGACGGCTGGATGATGATGGAGACTGTTGTGGACGACTGGCGGCTGGTGAGGATGGAGGCTGTATGGGACGTGGTGGCGCTACTTCCTTCATAAAATTTGGCTTCCGGAATTGCGGCTGCAGTCGAATTGTTACTGGTCGATCGCTAATGTCCGCACGTACCGCTCCTATAGCCACTGCCAACATCCAGGTTAATGCACCAAGCATTGCTGCTTTACCTGGCAGCAAAAAACATTCAAGAGGTTGCGATTGCGAAAGAAGTATTTCGCCGAAAATGCTCCTCATGAACTGGGCACGGAACAACAGACGTCCAGAAATCATTTGTACAAGCGAGTCATCTCATTCGAGGATAACGCTTATTTTCAGCAACACACAGCTAAACACCCAGAAAATTGTACTTCATATGTATTATCAGACAATGCTTCTAGCCTCTATGACATTTCTTCGTGGCCTAGGAATGGCAACGTTCAAAACAAGGTGGTGGTGCTCAGTACAGATCAGTGACATCTCATACGACTAAAGCACTGATGAAGTGTTTTAGTCGGTTGAACTGTTCGGTTGCTGGTCTTTTCTGGAGACGAAACGAACGCCAGCAGACTAACCATCAAGCGAAGCAGCACTGGATTAAGCGACTGGAAATTTGCTAGCTGCACAGCTCAGTATACAAGAAAGTACTGGACAGGGAGTTCCTTGTAGAGCAACCAGCCACGAAGGTTACTAGTTACACGGAATAAATGAAGGCGCACTACCCTACAGTGGGCTAGCATGCAAGACAATTTTTCTTCACAAATTATTACCGTAACTTCGCTGAAAAAAATTCATTCGTGGAAATATTTCTGTGAAAATATTTTTTCAGGATGAATTTTTCCATAAAACTACTTACGTTTACTAAAAAAGCATTATTTGAGAACATCGGTAGTGTAACTGTAGCGCTTAAAAGTATTTACTGATGTGGCTGTCGCTTAGCAACACAACAAAACAATGCAGACCGCGTTTTCTCCGAAATATTTTTAAAAGGCAACCAAACGGTTCACTTGAATAGCGAGCACATAGAGTTTGATTCTGCAGATGTACCAACACCAGTTTATTGCTTTAGATGGCCAGTTGGTACTGCCCGAAGGTTAAAGTTATTTGTTAGTTCATACATAAATTCGCAAAGTGCATCCATCAACAACTAAACCAGCGTGCGGCCGTTGTTGACACATGTAACCAGTCGGGCTCTCCCCGAGCGCCTTTGCCTCCTCATAAATAAACAAATACGGAGATGTTTATGTTTTTTTTTTTTTCCTTTTTTTTTACTTGGCATAGCACAGCAGCAAATTTCAAACGGCGAAGATTGC